TGTGTGTGTTTCTGTGTGTGTGTGTGTGTGTTTCGAGGGCTTGCAGCCATCAACTAGGGACTGAGACAGCCTCGGCCTGGTACACACACCTACAAACTCACACAACATCAGGATTTAGGATTTACATGTTACATGGTTTTGGTTCGTTTATAACTAAAAAAGATGCTATGTTACCAACATTAATGTTTGTAGCTTAGGTTGTTTTTTGGAACCATTTGAATTTGATCTGCCTTCAACACAAACGTTCCAGACTTGGCTGAGAATTATTTTAAATTACTTTTCTGTTTTTCACTTGTCACAAAATATATTCTACACTGAGCTGGCCTCAGCTTTTTCCTCAGTTGAAGCCAAACTTTCTCCTCACCTTGCCGATGAGCTTCCCCCTCTTGTTCATGCAGATGTAGAGGCCTGTCTCAGCCCCCTTTATACGCACTCGGCTCCCAAATGTGTCCGTTTCCACAATGAGTTTAGCTAAGGAAAACAAAATAGCTTTGTTAGCCACTATACTTAAGAGCTGAATGTTTTAGTAAACACTTCTAGTGATTTTAGATTTTATTTTTTGGCTAAAACATTAGAACATGTATGAATAATGTAACACACTAATGGACAATATGTTCCCATGTATGCAGCTCAAAAACACTAAAATGTATAAAGATTATTCCACTGGTTGATGAAAATGTATTGCAAAATGATAAAACCTTGAGTCTCTTGATTATTTAAAGCTAAAGAGACTATCCTGGCATGACCGCCAAGAGTGCCTTTTCACATACATTTGCAGTGACCGCACACATAAGTCTCATTTAGCTCTGTATCCCAAGAAGAGCTAAAAGACACAGGCAATACAGACCATTTAGAGTGCACAAATTTATGGAGCCTTTTTATGTTGCTATCAACAAGATAAAGACAAAAACAAGGCAAAAGGGACAGATTTTATTATTGTTTAACATTTGCTGAATACTGTGATTTCACTGCAGTGATTTGAGATCCTCATAGGTATTGATTTATTCATATTAAAAGCCAATAGGAGAGGACATGCTATAAATACAAAATTTTGATGCACATCCTCTTGAGTATGGGAGTGAATAAAATGTCTTGTAATGGCTCTTCCAGACCTACATAATCTCTGTAGGTTTACCTACAGCATTATATCTACCTCTGAGATTTCCATCCCTTCAACAATATAAACTGGAATCATAAACGTGCAGAGAATGACAACCTTCATCCATCAGATACCAAGCTAAAGGTATCATTGGCAATTTTGTCTGCAAATTTCAGAATTTTGAAAGAGCAAAGATCAGCAAGTCTTTGAACAAATTAATTAATAGGACTTAATACAAAATTCAACTAATTCTGCAAATGTGCTGGATTGCATTAGAAATTCCTCCTCTCATTGTACATATTGATTTACAACTCTTAACTTGAGAGACATCAAACAATTTGAATCTAATATGTGTTACAGTTTTCATATCTCAGATAGTTTTGCCATTTAAATACTTAAGGCCATGATTGTGGTCCTTGTGCACTATTTAACTGAGTTAAAATACTGCACTTGAACCATGTAAAGACACAATGAATAAAATATATTAAAATGCAGAAATTAATCAAGGAAAACGCAATATGAAACAAATGTTATGACAGCTTTTGTACTATTTAAATAAAATGAATTGTATACATTTATAGAACAATCAGACAGAATGTGACATGGACAGCTTTTGTTGTGGTGTAAAATAAAATAAAGTGAAATAAATTGATTGATTGACGCTGACACTGATCACTGACACATACTTGACAAAAACAGGTGGAATTATGTGAAAACGGGGACCGAAACGAATTAATTGATTGTTTCTAGAGAAAGCGTTTGTTTAATTATTGAACTGCAGGGCAATTCTTACCGTGCACGTCTCCATCCTCGGCCATGGCGTTGATCTTCTTGTTGGGCAGGACCTGGACGTGCTTGCCGCTGGTCCGGCTGTATAGCTGGTAGATACGGATCAACCTGCGGCTTATGCGGTCCGTTACTTTGCTCTGCTCGCTTACATGCTGCGTGAAATTAGGCGGGGACTGGTTGGTTACCTGTCAGAAATTAGACGCCATCACAATCAGTATGTGTACATTCTTCTTTTTCTTTTAATGTCTTTTTTGCTGAAACTACACTTCTTAAAAACGATAGAAGCAATCAGGACTCAAACATGGTGAGAGAAGTCACGTATGTGTATTAAGGGTACTATATGAAATAATATAAAGCTATTCGAATGCAATAGCAGCATGTTGTTCTCCCGAATGACAAGTGTTACAAGTTCTATAGAAGACGCACCGTGTGATTACAGGCTGTGCGTTTACAACTACGGTTTGCTGGGATAGTATGGGCCACAGCGCAGAGTGGAGCTTCAATTCCCATTCTCCCTTATGTGTCTGTATCATCTACTTTCACGTCAAGCTAAGTTTGAATTTTTGGTGGTGGAGTTACTGCTGCTGCCGTAAACATTGGTCATCTGGTTATCATAAGACACTCGCTTCCTCCTGCCCCTAAACCCAGTCTGTGCCCGCGCGTCCTGTGCCAGGGCCCGTATAGTCAACGGCACCCTGCCAGCAGGCAGCGCGATCCTGCAGCCCGGTGCATCGTGGGAGCCATCCGATATGGTTGGATATCTCGCGTTGTGACTGTCTTGTATTTCTAAGATTTTTAGTAATTATTAAAATAAAATAAATAAATACAAAAAATGTACACATCTTAAAACATTATTTGAAAAGAAATGAATGAAGTGACATACCTGAGCATTGTAGCAAAATACAAAGAAGTGTAGTAACCTGCAAAGAAGAAGAATGACACGCATAAAGTTACTTGTAGGGGAGAAGAGTAAACAGCGTGCAGGTAAAGAATGAAAGTACTCACAGATAGCAAAATCTGGATGGGATGGGTCGCATGCTGGATTGAGGTTAAAAAAACTCTTCCAGTAAATTAAGAACAGGATCCTGTCGCAACGGCTAAATCCAGCTCAATTGAGTCCAAAGGCTTGAGAAAAGTCCACAAAAAGTCAGTGTTGCTGACAAAGATACTCATGCGCGCACAGAGGACACATTCTTCATCAAACCTGTGTGTCCATCACGGGCAAGCCCTTGCTCCGACTAAAATAGTTTAATAGTAATTAATGAAAGTTTACCATTAAAAGAAATACCGCTTATGCGTGCCAGTTCTGCCACAAGCTGAGCTGTAGGTGAAGAAAAGCGCTGTTTAATTTTTAAAAACAAGTTGTCCAGGCAGTCAGATTATTCCCCTAATGTCCTGAGGTCCTCTGCAGTCTTCAGGTGTGTGTTAGAGAGAGGGGGAGAGAGATCCCGCTGTAGAGGAGGCTCGGCTCCACAGTGTTCATGTAGTGGTTCGATGCTGATGCTCCTCTTGGCTGTGGCAGTACGCTCTTTCCTTCCTGTCTGCTCCCATCACTCTCGTGTCAAGCCTCTTGTTCGGCGCTCACACACCCCTGTTTAAAATGGCAGGCTGATCTGCTAAGAACAAGCCCCCTTTTCTGAAGAACAAAAGCGGACACCCCAGTCCCGCTCCCCCCTCTCCCCTGATTCAAAGCATTTCCTTACCTGAGGAGCGGTCCACACTTAGAAGGGAAATAGGCGAGGAGGAGCCTGCGCGCTACCACAACTCTGTAAAAACCACTGAAATTTAATAAAGGCGACTGTTATCATGATGAAACACATTTCAGAGTACATCGTCAGTGACTGATGAATGGCTAGCCGATTACCTTGTGACCCTCTTCCTCTCTCATGTCCATTCATACTGTGCTTCTCTGGTTTGGAGCTTTCAAGTAGGTTTAGATTTGAAGCTGAAGCTGCTTCCTTTGTGTATAGACAGAACAAAGTGTGGGACATATTAAAAGGATTGTAGATTATTAAGCTTCTTTAAACACTCCCTTCCTACATTTGAAAAAGTGATTGGCCTCTTCTGGCTTCAGTGGTTTAACTGAACTGAACAGATATTAACAGTATTTATAAAAACAGATTTACGTGTTAGGGTTAGTATTTGGTATTTAGACCCTACTAACAGATAAACCTCTGAGATGCAAAGCTGCTAAAGATGACATGTTTCACATGAGATTAATTATCTGATAACTGCACCCTTCTAGGGCAGAATAGCTATCCAACACTATCATTATCATTTAGACTTTATTGATTGATTTGGCTATTAATTAGACTGCTCAGTATCGACCACAGGAAGGATACAGAATCTCAGAACTGACTAAGACACAGACACAGATGTCAAGAGAGTTTGTGATTATAAGAGCTGACACTGGTGTCTGTGTGTTGTCATGAAAATCATGTGATCTGTGTGATACTGTCTCTGCCTGCAGCCGGCAGAGACAGTACCTGGCTGCTCCACCTCTCGCCTAAATAATGCGAAGGATTTGTTGCTGTGTTGAATGTGTCTTTGCAGAGAACCTCCCACTGTGTTGTTCACATGTAAAAAGATTGTATTTTTGGTAAACAAACAATGTTCATATTGGATTTGGCACATTTTGATAGGACTTCTTAAACATTTGTGAATATGGGCTATACAAATAAAATTTGATTGATTTACCCGTCAGCTTCCCAATCAGCAAAGATTATTTTAGTGTCAGCCTTTCAAAGAGTATTAATCCACCAGTGGGCGCTACAGGGGGGTCACTAGACATAGTTTGAGCAACTTGCACCCAGTGTCCTGGGTACTATGGCTATATTAAAGGCAGAGCAAAGCTGTGACTTGAGTTCTGCTCATGCCACATAATGCTGGAGTAACTTCATCAGTTATCTCCTCCACTGTCAGAATACATGTTGTCAGATAGTTTTTTTCTCTGTTTCCTTCCCTCTCTCACATTAACATCTCTGAGTATGTGTGTGTGAGAGAGGGAGAGAAAGGGAAAGAGAGAGAGAGCAAGGGTACAATTTAAATACAAACCCCACATGAGACATGAAGTTGGTCAGTGTGTGTAAAAACTGTAGTAACACCTACTGATGTGTGTGTGTGTGTGTGCGTGCGTGTGTGAGAGAGAGAGAGAGAGAGAGAGAGGGACTGGCCGGCAGGTAGCTGCCACTCTGGACTCCAGCTCAGCCCCTGCCCTCCCCTTAACCCCAGGAGCCCTGCATCCATCAGCAGCCCTGCAGGGGGCAAACATCCCTCCCCCTCTGCTCCTACTCTCCCTCCCTATTCTGAGGTTCTCCACTCATGACCACTGCTCTACCAATGTGGGCAAGAAAAACATGTCTTACACTGAAAATTAAACATAAGTATATTCTCTATAGACAGTTAACATATGTAAAAACACTTTTAGTGAAGCGTAATACCTTTAAACTATTAAGCATGTTTTTGACCTGTCACTACCATGAAATTATGCTTCACAACATTTTTTCAGATTGAAGATACTGTTGTAAAACTACAACAAGAATAATTTTGCAGCAACTTGATACTATTAGATACATAGTCCATCCCTAAGTGTAAATATCAGGCCTCTGTTATTAATGTTCACAGTGTTTCAGGATGGTTATATTTAAGTGCTTAGTGGAGACTGATACGTTTGAAAAGTCTGCACTGCAGTACTACATAATGGTAATGCAAGTGATATAAAAGAAGACAATGTAATGGCTAATCACTCAAACAAACTTGTTACACTCAAAATTATGTCAAGTTTGTTCACACTGTGCAATGATATTAAAATGCATAGAAAGTGGAAAAGCACATTCAAAGATTTACATCAGAACATGTGTGGAAATTTCTGTCTCCAATGGAGATAAATGGGTCATTGGTGCTTGCATCATACTTTAGAAAATTCTGAATTAACATCTATTCCACAGTTACTTTGTCCTAATCCATAGGTCCCCGAAAACCACAGGACACATTGAAAGCTCTTTCAAATTCAAAACAACTTTATTTTTCCCAGAGGGCAAGTCTTAGTGGAACCGTTTCATAGTTACAATGAAATTTGTTCACACTGGAGCTTCATATTGCTTGACAAATATTTTCCTCTCCTCCTTCTATCTCCATCCTCTCCCTCTCTTCTCTTTGAAATATTTAAATATGAAAAATGTTTCAGCACAACAGAATGAAACATTAACTGTGAAGGGACATAATGTATGCATTAATGGAAGTGCAGTTATAAATTATTAAGAGCACTATTTGGAAAGCTAAGCTTGCCCTGTTTTAGTATAAAAACTCCAGGGTTTTTGTTATAGTTTGGATGAACAGAAAGTCAGACTTTTCAAAGAGATGATGCAATCATGAGCTGGTTTTATCAGTCACAACTACCACAACCAGTGGTAAATGAAGAATGGATAATGAGCGCTACAAGAAAGCACTCAGAAATACCAGAACCTCCTATTATTCATTTTAGATAAAAGAAAATAAAAACAACCCCAGGTTCCTCTTCAGCACTGTAGCCAGGCTGACAGAGAGTCATAGCTCTACTGATCCATCAATTCCTCGAACTCTAAGAATCAATGATTTCATGAGCTTCTTTACAAACAAAATTATAACCATCCGGGAACAAATTCACCACCCCTCCACATGAATAGCACAGATACGTTGTTTAGTAACAAAACCATAGAACCACCTGTAGCACCAGATTTTTATTTAGACCACTTTTCTTTAATAGATCTTTCTTAACTAACTTCACTAGTTTCATCCTCTAAACCAACAACTTGTCTTTTAGACTCTGTCCCAACTAGACTTTTTAAAAAGCAAGTCTAATTCACAGTTCCATATTAAATCAGGTTAATATGTTTTTGTCAACTGGCTACATACCACAAGCTTTTATGGTAGTGGCAAGACAATCTCTGCTTAAAAAACATCCACACGTTTTAGCTAATTATAGACCCATATCAAACCTGCCCTTCATTTCCAAAATCCTTGAAAAAGCTGTTGCTAACCTGCTATGTGATTACCTTGATATGCTTTGTTAGAAGACTTTTAGTCAGGATTTAGAATCCATCACAGCATAGAAGCAGCACTGTTAAAAGTTACTAATGACCTTATCATGGCAGCAGATGATGGACTTGTCTCTGTACTCGTCCTGTTGGATCTTAGTGCAGCGTTTGACACCATAGATTATAAAATACTGTTACAGAGACTGGAACAACATTTAGGGATTAAAGGAACAGCAGTAGGCTGGTTTAAGCCATATTTATCAGATTTCAATTTGTTAATGTTAACAATGACCCCTTTGTGCAAACACAAATTAAGCTTGGAGTTCCACAAGGTTCTGTTGATGGACCAATACTCTTCACCTTATATATGCGTCCTTTAGGCCACATCATCAGAAAGTAATGTGTAAACTTCCATTGTTACGCAGATGACACCCAGCTGTATATATGAAGCCTGATGAATTTAATCACTTAGTTCAACTTCAGCAATGTCTCAAGAACATCAAGGCCTGGATGACTCAGATCTTCTTACTTCTAAATTCAGACAAAACTGAGGTCATTGTAATTGGCCCTAATTATCTCATAGAAATACTGTCTGACCAGTAGGTCACTTTGGATGGTATACGTTTGGCCCCCAGCTCTACTGTGAGGAACCTTGGAGTTATGTTTGACCAGGACACGTCATTTGACCCACATATAGTCAAAAAGTCTCTAGAACAGCTTTCTTCCACCTGCACAATATTATGAAAATTATGAAAATCCTGCTCCTATGCAGAGAAACTAGTCCAAGCACTTTACCTTTAAATTGGATTACTGTAATTTCTTATTATCAAGATGTCAGAGTAAGTCTACTGGTGGTCCAAAATTCTGCAGCACCAGTGCTGAAACTAGAAGAAGAGATCATATTACATGTCATTTAGCTGAAGCTTTTATCTAAAGCGACTTACAGTTAGTGCATTCAGCATCTATGAGGGACCTTTTTTTGTGGGGGGGTGGGTGTTCAGCCACAGCCATCACGTTACTCCTGTCTTAGCTTCTCTGCATTGGCTCCCTGTAGAATTCAGAATAGAATAGAATAGAATATCCAAGTAGATCACTTCGTTCCCTTGTGGTTCCATGAGTCTGTAAGAGTAGAACAGGAGGTAGAGCATTCAGCTACCAGGGTCCTCTCCTGTGGAACCAGCTCCCACTCTGGGTTCTGGAGGCAGACACCATCTCTGCATTTAAGTAAGACTTAATCCGTATTTGATAAAGCCAATAGTTAGTTCTGGATCAGGTGAGTCCTGAACCATCCCTTAGTTATGCAGCTATAGGCCAAGACTGCTGGGTGAATTCCCATCATGCACTGAGCACTTCTCTCCTTCTTTCTGTCTCTACATGTCACTAACTGTATTACTCTCTCTCTCTCTCTCTCTCTCTCTCTCTCTCTCTCTATCTCTCTGTCTCTCTCTCTTTGCAGGCATCTCTGACTCCAGAGCTGCAGGATTGAGACAACAATTATGATTATTATTATTATATGAATTGTTGCTTCTATTATTAAT